GTGTGTGTGTGTGTGTGTGTGTGTAGGTGCCCGTGAGTGTTTGTGTTTGTGGGTGCATTTGTGTGACCTCCTGCTCACCAAAGGGTCATAAAGGCAGGAAGTTTACTTAACAAGAAAACAGAACCTTCACCTAGGATGTGCCTATAATAAAACACTACAGCCTCCCCCACCATTCAACAGGCTGGGGAGGGAGTCTGAAACAAAGGAATGTCTTTGATCACATAGTTTGCACCAAGACTTACAAATTTAAGTAACACAATGACAACATTTAACAATTTGACTCTAACAGTTGCTTTCATGTGATTGGCAGATGTCAACATTTGCATTGATAAGTGGCTGAATATGTATACCTAAAAAGTGCATATTCATAAATTACTTGAATACTTATAAATTTGCCTTATTAAGTCTACTAAGCTGAGCTTCTAAGCTCTCTGAACTTCTCTAACTTGCTTGCTTCAGCCTGGAAAATTCATCTTGGTCATGAAGTTCCAGAAATGTTGTCATTAGCATAGAGGCTACTTGTTGTGACTGTCAGTTCCATTCATAAAAATTGGGAAAGAAAAACAGAAGAGTTTCTTTGCTCTGTGAGAAATTTCCTTTTTATCAGTGAAATCTATATTTGTTACAAATTCTCCGAAACACAGCGACCAGTGACTCTTTGGCAGTCACCCAAAGGGGAAGACAGTAACAGAGATTTTGGCTGAAAATAACTGTGGTGAACAGGAACATCGGGTAAGTCTTATGAGATTTGACTTTGTCATCTATTTTTGTTTGGAAATGTTTCTACAACACTTACACTTAAACTCAAAATAGATTCAAATTAAAGCAGTCAGTTCCATGAATACACCCTCCTCCACCCACCCATGTTGCTTGTCAAGGGAAAATAACATTTAAAGTTCTTGCAAGAGGCCTATTGTGTTTGAATGTCGCCTCATTCACAAACTCTGAGTTACTTTTTCTAAAATGTGAGATACAAATAAACTTACTTGAATTATTCAGACTGTGTAGGATCACAGTAGGTGCTCCTGGACCTGAAAAGAGACAAAAAGAGCATCTAAGTAATTTAAGCAATTTCCAGCATCTTTATTATCATGACTGGAGACATTTCCTGTTAGGATGCCTGGGTCGTTGACCCAGGGTTTTTGAGTTTATTATATTATTTATAATTTCTAGTCTTTGGGTTTTTGTTAGAGTCATGTCTTATGGTTTGTCTCTGTGTAATTCAGTTGCTGTCTCCCCTGTCCGCTATATCCCTGTTTCCAGTCAGTGTCTGTGTCTGCCCTGGTCCCACGTCTCTGTTCCCTCTGTTGTAGTGCCTGCATGTGAGTCTGTCTTTTGTTCAGTCTGTGTTATGTGTTTCCTGTTTTACTTTGAAGGTCTCTGTCTTATCTCAGTGTGTTCAGTTTACGCTTCCTTGTCTCGTCAGTTCTGATTTGCCCCAGCTGTGTTTCCCTCCTGTTGTCCATTCCCTGATTGCTCCCTCTATGTATTTAAGCCCTGTGTTTCAGTTTGTCATTGTCGTGATCTACCTTTATCTTGCTCTGTGTTTGGTCTGTGTAGGTGTATTTTGTATTCTTAGTTTTTGTTACCCTTTTGAGTTCAGCATTAAAGCTGTTTTGAGTTACTTTCTGTCTCTGGAGTCTGCACTTTGGGTCCTTCTCCTGCCTGCACACAGCCGTCACATAACATTTCCACCTGACAGTTTGCCCAATTACGATTAAATGGTATTTAATATATGTAAAGGGGCTCCTTTAAAGCTGCTCTAAAAGGCCAGTGTAGGCAGCTGTTATGTCACCTTCCCTATATTTTTTTAAATCAATTAGGGGTTAAAGGTCACTCGAGATGCCTCCCTAATATCAAATTAAGCCAGTACTTGTTAATGCCCTTCTCTAATATACTTTGACAGAGGTTAATAGGATGGCAGGTGTGCTGTACTTAAAGCTCTCCTTTCTTTGAGTTAAAACACAAACCAACTTTTCCTTTATTTCCTTGCACTTATCTGTTGGTGGGCTGTATTAGCTTTGACCCAATGTCACACAGAGAAATGGCTTCATTTTGTGCATGTACCTGCTAGAAAACAGTAAACCAATCAGATCACTTTATGAGTGGGTTTAAGAGGCTTGCGCTGATGAAAACAGGTGTGAGAAGAAGCTTGTCAGGATTACGTGAACTTGGCCTTTGGAAGACAACAAGCTTTCTCCATTATTTTTATTGCTTTTGGGAAAGGGAACGCAGTTATTGTCCAATATATCATCACGCCAAATGCCTCCTGCGCCTGAAGAGCTTTCAGCTGTTCAAAATAAATTGAAACCACAAACAATATGAGTTACCCCTCATTAAATAATCTACTTGTTGCCCAATAATACTCCCTAAAAGCGATTACACACAATGTAGTGGCTAATTATTCATTTTATGACTCTCATTTCAAACTGATGAGAGATTAATTTTAAACTGAATCAGGAGGGTGACAGATCATGACGAGCAAACCAAGGCATGTGCCAGACGAATAAATGGATGCTGAATAAATAAGGAACGTAAAACACAACCTAATCCTAATTTGATTTTTTTTAAACCAGCAGCCATCTGCAGCTATGTTGTAATAGAATGAAGCGCCACACAAATGGCTTTAGATGGTTAAAATTGTAAAGATTTAATTTTTATTAATGTAACTGTCCATTTAGGTGATACAGGCCAGATGCCATGATGTGGAATCATCCCAGCATCATGTAAGTATCTGCATGTGCTGATGTATCGTAACGTGGTCTGGCGAAGAAGGATCGGCTAGCAGGTCTAGTGGACATGTGGTGTGGAGGCTAGCCGGAAAACTTGGAGGCCAGTCAGTTAAATAGAACAAAAGACCTTTATGTGCCATTAACAGAAGAAAACCATACAAGCCAGGTCTCCACAGCTCATGTATTTGTACATACATGTGCCGGGGGTTAGGCAGTCGCTGGTGCCAGCCCGTTACAATGGTAAGGTCTCTCTAAACAGATGCACGGACAACAGCATGCTTGGCTGTAATGGCTGCCGCTGCATTCACACTAGGATACTCTGCAACTACTACAATAATAGAATGACACCCCCTAGTGGTGCTATACAATAATAAGGGTCGTTACAGTATAGTTGTTCAATTCTAGCTGTTTGGTTGGCATAGACAGCAGGCTATGAAGCTCATCAGCCTGAGGACTGGAATGAAAGAAAACGTCAATACTGCTGTGTTAGTTTTGGGTAAGTTATGAAGCTGCAAGTGTGCAACAACAGCAAAAAAGTCAGAAAGTTTCATTTGGAATTCAGCAGGCAGAAAAAGTAATTTTAAAAGAGCAGGATTGCATTCAAATATTCTCTTGACATCCACCGGAGAGGTGTGCTACAAAACGAGATTAATGGGTTAGTGAAGTGCGTCGAGCTTAAAGTCAGAGTTTTGAGTGTCGTGAAGACAGATGCCTTTTTACCTGGATGGGTCACCATGGTAACTTTTTCTGAACATACATCCTGATCTGAAGCTGGTTGGGTTCAGAGTTTCAGTTAAAAATTGCCTGTCTGTATCTGTTCTTTTCATTACCATACGCTCTAAGTGCTATAAAGATGTTCAGCAGAAGAAATGCATTTGATAAACAGATGTAACCTCTAAAGGTATGCCAACACTGTGTGTCGCATTATCACAGGAATCTGCACGTCTATCTTCAGTTGATGAAAATGTATCAATTATGTTTTTAAGCTTGGTCCTCATTTGCTTTCAAGTCTGTTTTACACCACGCTAATAAAACACAGATAAGAAAACTCAGTCAGTCTGTTGATAGTCTAATTACCAGCAAAAACTTTTGTTTATCTGGCTGCAAACTATAGGACAGTCAGTGCTGTGTGTGCTGAGGAGCATTTAATGTTTAGAGTTTCAGAGCTCTAATGCGCAGCTGTCAGAGCAATAAAATAAACATATTTACTTAACAGTTATTCTCATTTTATTTGCAGCAACATCGTTGCATTTGGCTGCTTTATTTTTCATATCCTTTATAGATCCTTATCACCTGTATGTCTGATAATTGGATTTGGAGTGCTGCACTCAATGCATCCACTATGTGCAGATGGAAAGCGAAATGACACTTCAAATGCCTCCTTTTATGTGTGCATGCACATAGCCTGAAGCAGTGTGGCTGATAACCACTGTCATGAATACCTGTTATCTCTGAGTTGGGTTGTAGGTTTTGTTGAACCAGCTAAAGTAAAGAAAGCCCAGATATGTTTAATTGCTTTGCAGTACACAGCTCAGGTCTGTTGTGAACTCATTTAGTTAGTTTGGCTGTACTTTCTGAATCAAGACTTTTTTATAATAAGTCTCATATTTGCATTTTGAACTTGCAATTCTTCTTTAATAGTTTTTCCCATTTGGGAATGCCAAACAAGCAAATATTTCATAAAGAGATGGGGGTGTTAACCTAACCTTAACCCCTGTGTGTATTACTGGTAGCCTGCATGTTGTTAAGAGGTTAAATTCCTTCCCTGATCTAACAACGTGGGTGGAAGCAGACTGTTGTCTGCACCAGACTGTTGTGATTCTCTAAATCACGCCCACGTTTGAACCTCAGAGTCAAATCCCTGAACTATTTTATAATATAATTTTTCATAATAAGACCCCAATCACTTGGAAGTCTGTCACCCTATGAAAGCCAAAGACACTCTGACAGCCATTTGAAAGGGCATTTCATAGCAGGAAAACTGGAGGGCCCTTAAAGTGAGATACTGGTTGGCCTACCTTTACAGTCGAGGATAATGTGCTGGTTCGTGGGGCTGATGTCAGCGTCGAAGTACAAACAGTGGGCTTTATTCAGTTCACATGTTAAACACCGTCGGGGGAACAGGCCCACAGTTTTAACACTGAGAAGAGAAGAGCAATAAAAAAACGGAAAAAAGAGACAAAGCACATAAAACTTTTTGAGTAAGAAAGTAAAGGACATATTTCTTGATCTTTTTTTCATGATAACTCCCCCGAAGCGAACAAACCAGTAATAAATCATATCCAACTGGAAAGTATTACCTGTCTCGTTACAGGCTGGTATAGTTTACTCTTTTACATAAAGCAGATTTTTAACAGTTTTTTGGCATTTTTATATTTAACCAGTAGTCAGAAAAATAACTGGGAGGTGATTAATAATACAAATTTTATGTGTGAACTGGTGATAAAGTGGCCAAAATATTCAGATTAATCTCTACTAGTTCCAAAAAGTCAACCATATATCAATGTAAGAATAATGTGACAATTGTGAAAGTGAAAAATTCTTTGCAACCATTTTTTTAATATTTTTTTTTATCCCATGTTCATCATCATCATCATGTGAGTAAATTTACTACTAATAAAAGTCCCTTGAGTTCTCATGATATAAGTTCGAAAAGTTTTTAATCATTTTATAAAAATTATTTAATTAATAATAATGATGCAAACCTGAAAAGCTGCCGTCTCCGTGGTGAACCCTCAGTGCTGAGAAAATAACTGTTAGAGGACATAAAAGATAATTAGTGCAAACAGACATGCTAAATTAAACACAGAAGCTCATTATCTCCTTGTTTTCTTTGTTTAAGCGAAATTCATACATTTAATGACTAAAACACACATGTGCCATGTGTGGAATCCACAGTGAACCAAGGAGAAAAGGAGACAATTCAGTACTTACTACTTTGTTCATTATCAACCTAACTCTTGTTATTGTTGTTTTTTTTCTTTAAATTAAATTTTTCTCTTTGTTTGTGGCTAAAAACATTTAAGATCAGTACTCTGGTCAGCTCTATTCGATCTTTTAAAAACACAACAGCATTAGATTAGCTAAGTAAGATTCAGTAACGCATGCTTGTGGTCACAGACTTGGCAAAACACATCACTGTTTGAAACCACGATCAGGAACTCTGTGATTAGAGGAATTATGAATAGGAGGGTACAAATTTCACCTTAACAAGCTCCTAATTTCTTAGAGAAGTAAAACAGAACAATCAAACAGATGGACAATAATAAAACTGAAATAAAATTACAATTAGAATAAGAGAAACAGAGTGGAAAAAGAAAAGTCATCTTTTTAAGTTGTTTTTTTTTTTCATCTTATCATTTACAAGCCTTATCTCTTCATGCAGGTTGTGGTGAGCTGAGAGGTCCTGATGGTCAAGGCACTGCCAGGTTTAATTTAAGCATCAACATTGGAACGGCCAGAATGGCTCCACCATAGGATGTAAGCCCGCAGACTGGTGTATATGGGGTCAACATTTCTCCTGGGTAGCCTGAGCCCAGAACCATACATGCTTTAAAGGTGATCCGTAAAATCTTAAAATCAAGTTGTGTGCTATAAGAAACCCAAACTATCGATTTCTTAACTACTCTGGGGTGAGAGGATGACTTTTTTTTTTTTTTTTTTTTTTTTTATTGAGGTCAGTAAAGTTTGTAGGTTTTAGGGGGAGTTTTGCGGTCACACTCACAGGTTATCGGTGTCCTCATCAAAGGCAATGATCTTTGTCACCTCCCAGTTTCCAGACGTTAGATGTCGGACTTCATTTTGATCAGCTCTGAACTGAAAAAATCAGAACAAGAGTAGTAGAGGGTCATTTGACTGAGCGCCATCACTTAACTCATGCTCAGGTGTCAGTCAAACACTACATATTCAAAAGTGCCCATGCCAGAAAAATATCAGTCATTAACCCAACAAAATGGAAATATTTATGAGCTGAATCAATCAGTAGATTCCATCATAGCTCTGATTCTCTACTGACAATAAAATAGTACACTGTTCCTTTTTCAGTGGATTTCCTTGGATGTTTTTAATATACTTGTACATGAATATGTCCAAGATTTACATATAGTCATAGAATTATATAATTTTTTAGTTAAAACCCATGAGCAGTACACATTTGTTTGTTCAGCCTGGCCATGAGCTGTGGAAACATTCATACAAATCTGGTACAGGTTAGATGTTTGTGGTTTATTTTTGTCCTCGTGACTAAATAAATGTATAAATTTAAACAGACAAACACACAGGAACACTGCACTCACACGTGACTGTAGCAAAGATGCCAGACAGTACATTGTTTGTTTGTGGCACAACAACAGAGATTGGAGAGACACTGTGGGTGAAATATGCTCTGCGTGCAGCTTAAATGCACCTTCAGGGAGAAGACCAGGTGGATGATTGGCTGTACGGAGTGTCAGACTTCAACATGCGAGACTGCTGGACTATCCTCAAGAAAACCATTTGTTAAGGTGGTGCCAGATTTTTTTTGGCTCAAGCCAATAAAGCTTTCATTATTCAGAGGGTTATAGAATATCTGGCAACCAAAGGGTTAAGCAAAGTTAGGCACAAAACTGGCATTAAAAAATCAATCCGTTTTTACATCCTTCAGGCACTAATAATGACTGAAAAGCTCTAAAAGTAAAAATAAAATGAAAATGTCAAAGAAGATGATGTTAAATACATCCCAATCACAAAAGCCAGGCAGACAAAGAAAGACACACAATCAACTTTGGAAAAATGGCTAAAAGATTGACAGACTAAAAAAGAAACGTAACAGTTTACAACTGTGCTAAAAAAAAACAAAAAACAACAGTAACACAAGCAAGGTTCTGCATCTTTAATGACAGCTATGAGTCCTGCTCGTTTCAGCTGAGAGTCAAGCCTCTTTGCTGGTTGTTGCATTGCTGCAGACAGTAGAGGCTTGGGGTTTCTTCTTCCTGCTGAAAAGGTTTTAAAAACTCCAATTTCTTTTTGCTACTGTTCTAATCTAAAAGCCCTTTGGCACGGTTTTTCAATCATCTAATAAAACAGATTTGCCTTTGTTCTAATCAGTCCAGCTGTCTGCACACCTGGACTCTAGTTTCTGGAAGGCACACATCTGAGAAGTGGGCAGCCCTTCCCCATGAACGGTGGGGTGTATTTTTTGTTAGTTTTAGGACGATCCCTAAACATGTTGGTCCTTTTTGCAATAAAGCAAATTGAGTAGTGTTTTTGCTGGCATGTGAGTTTTTGTGCAGTGTCTGTTGAAACCTTGAACTGGTTTGCTGTGGTGAAGGGAAAGCTCAGGATGAAAGCTGAAGTGGTTGATTTACTGCTTGCTTTATGTTTCTAAACTCACATATGTCCATGACCTGTAAGTAGGGACTGAAAGAATAAGACTGAACTTCCTCCAAACGATGTCTGGGCTCAGCCCCCTTTTTTCCCAGAAGAGTAATCACAGAAGTTATCACAAAAATGAGGTTTCAGTTAAAGTATGCATCTTAACAACAAAAGCCCTCAATACTGAAAAATGATGCCAAGCAGTCAAGACCCACCTCGCTGTTGCCTAAACTTGGTTGTCACAGCACTCATGTCTTAGGTCTATCTGTGAGACACCACCCGCATTAACAAAATGGGAATATTCAGCTTTCTAGGAATGAGAAAATGTTGGTGAAATCTTCTAATCATAAGTGTAATAATGACTTATGTTTCCAGGGAATCACAAGTCAAACTGACAGATGGCTCAGTGCAGCCTCTGCGACGATTTGATCGCTGTACCAGTCTGTAGTGTTAAAAAAAAAAAAAGTTGCACATGAAAGCAAGGATCTCAATTTTATTACATTATTACACACGTCATGAGTGAAGTAATAAGAATTGAACTTGCTCTAAACGGTGTCTGGGGTCTCACTTAGAGATGAGGTAGGAGCCTGGTTATTCAGGGGGAGGTCAGAGTAGAGCAACTGCCACTCCAAATTGTAAGGAATTAATTGGCTCGGACATATGACAAGGATGCCTCCTGGATGCCTCCTAACTGAGGCATTGCTGGGATGTCCAGGGGAGGGAAAACCTTGGGGGAGATCAGGATACCCCGCAGAGATGACAGCTCTCAGTCTGCTTGCATCTTTATTTCCCTGAAAGAAGTTGATTCTTACCTGACACGATGTCATAAAGCCACAAAACATTCTGGTTCGGTGGACTTTAATTGACCATGCACATCAGAAAACAGATTTATTATAATCATTCCAGTCGTGAAGATTATTATTATTATTTTTTTTTACAAATATCAAAACAAAGTCGTTATTTTAATATAAAAATATTGCGTTATATTCTTTTTTTTTTTTTTTGCCCAAACAGCCTCTTTACATTTTAGAACATTTATCAGACCTGACAAATCCATTACAGACCGAACAGGCTCAGCCAGAGATTTATTTCTGCAAAAACTAATACTGCATGAATTCTTACACTGGAGAACGAGTTCCCATAATTGGAAAACAATCTGAGGGAGTTAAAAACAGATTTCAAATAACCCTGCTTATTTCTGCTAACATCACTGAAATCTTGCATACAACTTGCAGATCTGTGGATGTGCATGGGGAAACTTTAATATCTGTGCTGATGAGAACAGGCTATTGGATTTTGTGCTTGTGTTGGTGGGGGGAGGGATCAGGGCTATCATGAAATAGATGATTATTGCAACATTTTAATTAACAATTCGACAGCATCACAAATAAAGGTGACTTTAGCTGCGGCTTTGATGCAACATCCATCGCATTAACATAAAGTCTTGATCTCAGTCCTTTATAGACTTTGGTCAGATATTGGTTTTATCTCACTTTGAGGTACATAGTGTCTTAGTTGCCTTGACACACAATAATGGGCAAATTTGAATCCTACAAAGTCCATGTGAAGAGGTTGGAGGGGTGGCAGGGTCATGTCGCATGTTTATAAGACAGGAGATTGTGGTCTGAGTCCACAGGACTTGCACTTTGTCAGATTTATATAAGCCTGCGTTTTCCTAATTCTAAACACGTAGTATTATCACCATCAGGACTTAAACTGGTATGTCACGCTCTACTGTCAAAGGATTCCTTGTAGTTACTGAGGAAAGTGAATACGCACTGTAGTTACACAATACATATATAGCTTTAAAGTGAATATGAATTCAGCATTCACCTGTGTCGTGAACATGGCAATATGATGAAACTCTCCTCGTCCTCCTTGTTTGACCGGCACTGTGAGGAAGAATCTGTTGCCATCTTTGGAAAACACGGGTTCCTGATTCTGTAGAAAGCAAATATGTGTCATATATTTAATATTATTTTAACAGATGAACCAGAATGTGTCTATTTATTTCTTAGAACATTAGACAAATTGCACATTTTCCAGTGTATCTGTAAAAGAAGCTGTGGAGCATGCTGAAGAGTCCTGCTTTCAGAGGCATACATTACATAGTTGCCAACTGCATGAACAAGTGGATAGAAATTATGCACGGATGGCCTCCACAGCTGAGAGATGGCCAAACCACTTTTTTACCTGAAAGTAGCAATCTGCAGTGATTGTATATAAAGAGACTGTTCACTGACTAAATGAGTGACTACCCATTTTGTGGGAAGAAAAATGGATTGTTAGCATGGACGGCAGTGAGGAAAGAGGATGGATGATTTAACTCTATGTGGCACTTTAAGCAGGACAGTGGTAAAAAAGAAAGAAAAAACAGAAAAGTTTAGTCCTTGAAAACAGCTACTAAACTGTGGTCGGATTTTGGGAATTTAAATTCATAACAGAAGCCCTGCATTGGCTCATGTAGACAGGCTTTACAGTGCAGAGGGAGTTAGATGTAAATAAGGGGCATTATAAGAAATGAAAGGGGCATCATTGGTGATATGTGATTCATAGGGTATTTGATTCAATTTATGTATCTGGTGATGCTTGGTTCGCCTTTTAAATGTGTTTAGCCCCTCAAATTTAAAGGACACACAAAGTTTATGGGCTGGATTAACCCTTTACCATAGCTCACATTTTTTCTCTTAAGAGGGATTTTATTCTTCAAAAAAATATTCTTAAAATGAATTAAGGTAGTCTTAGTCTGCATACCTGGAGTAGTTGTCTGATAACAAAAAAATGACAGCCAAATAAAATGTCATGTGATATTTTATCTAAAAAAACAGACATATGCATTTTTCAAACAAATTTAAATGCTCACTGATTAATAATAAATTCATGTTTAAAATGAGTTTAAATTCAGTCCTTGTAAAATCCATAAAAAGATGCAATTTTAGTTTTAACCTATTTAAAAAGCCATGAGCATCTGAGTAAAATTTACACAAAAATCCACATTTAACATTATGAAAAACATTATTAACACTATTTAAACTACAATAATAGTTACAAATGGTTAACATAGAAGAAAAATATGCAATAATGCAGTCAGCAGGTACCGTATAAATTTAAAAAATAATTATTAATATTATTAATAATAATAAAATAATATAATTGAAACCTTTAATGTGATTATATTTGTAAATTGCTCAGCAAATGTAGACTTTTGTCTATTTTTAATTTTTAAAGTGCGACTCTGTGTTTTTAGTTTCTCTAATTTTCACTACTGAACATAAACAACACAAAATCACATCACTGCACACATGATATTTGAAGAAAAGTTTAAATCTCTGGAACCAAAACTGTGAAAAATAGAAACCCTCTTTACTCTAAACTCTAAATTCTGCCTCAGTTTGGGATAGATTAACTAGAATGGATTTTTCCATGATGTTATATATTGGTATTGAACAGAAAGTCATTAGCAAAAGACCTGTCTGCACTGGCACAACCACAAAATTGAGCTTCTGTCAGATTACCACCTTTACCGATACACGTAGCTTGCCAAGGATGTCAGTTGGTTAAATTAGACACTGCTTGAGCCAGCCGGGACTACAAGATCAAATCCTGCCAGAAACTCTCCTACTCTGCCTTCATCACTGCTCTGATAAAGCTCAGAGCTGACTGCAGACCACCTTTGGAAGAAATGAAAACATAGATAAATGGGAAACTGATTTAAATCTGAACTGATGATAGTTAATATAATTAATTTATCAAAATGTAAAAGTAGCAAAAACATGTTTGTGTGTTGTTCTGGCTTTTATTTGGCACTGGGTTACTGAATATTCATAGCCCTTCCAACATAAAGCAAAGAGGCTGATGAACAAAAAGAACACATTATTTGTAAATTACACTTTTTACATGAAATGTTTACTTATTATATTAATTTGTGGATGCTAACAGTTTAAATTTTTCTTGAATTAAAAGCCTCAAGAATAAAGTTTAACATTTTTTTAAATGAGCCTCATAAATCAACTGAAAAACAGGCTGCAGTATTTTTTTTTTTTGTCTATGCCATAGAGTCAGGAAAAGGGAAAATTCACACATGTGAATAGTCTTTGCTCTCGCCTCACCTTTCAGTCTGTGCTTGAGTCAGTTTCAATATTTCAGGGATACAGAGACTTTGAGAGTGTCTATATAAATACAGATAACTAAGAAATTCTACTTTGTGTTGCGTAATTTTTGAAAAATGTTGAAGCAGACATGATTTCAAGTGAAATTACAGCAATGGAGCACAAGCTTTTCAAAGTGACAGGCACTGACATGTAGAATAAAGAGAAGCTCACCTGTTTGGAGAGCCAGAGCTCAGAGCTTTCTTCATGTCTCTGAAAAACACGTCAGAGCAAAATGTCAAATGAGTGTTAATTCAGCCACATCATAAAGATCTTCTCATCTGTTACAGCCTTTCTTTCAAGGTTCTATTTTCTGCTTCTATTTGGTGCATTGTGGTTTGGAAACTGCACGATAATTGATGTAATCACGTTCTTTCCCAAAATCATTGGTCTTTTATGTCAGCAAAATATTTACATAAGTGGTATATTTCTAATACTGTGTAAAAGTGATGCTGGAGTAGCACTTCAGTGGCTCATTTTCCAGACATAATCATCTGTCATGTAATGGCCCCCTTATTTTGCTGTTTATTTTAACACACCACTTGGGACATCATTCCCAGTTTGAACCGTCATTTCAAACCAATATGCATAAGCAGAAGCCAGAGTTTTGGCAAGAGGGCTCTGGGTGCTGTTTCCAGGCCTTAACTAAGCTGCCTCTTGGCTGGACAGCGTGTTTGTCCATGCAAATCACACCAAATCAGAAAAGTGCAGAATTGGAGAGCGGCCTGTCCAGTCCCACGGTTCAACTGCGAGGTTAACACTGCTCTGTGTTGCCCAGTAAATATGGAGAGAATGTGGAACTGTGCTGCAATTTCGACGGAATTTTTTCTCCAAACTAAAGAGTGCTTTTAAAACTTTTTCCGTCAGGAAGGCCAAAAGTACCTGTGTTTCTAAGTTTTGTTTTTATCACTCAACGACAAGTTACTGAACAGCCATTGGGTGAAACTGTTCTCAAAGAGGTATTAGGCGCTGTACCAAACCCCTCCTTGCTATAGTTTTGGTCGCTAGCAGTCTGGTCGCAGTCACCAGTTATATGTATGAAAGACACCAAAGTGTCTTTGGTAAAGACACTTTGAAAAATAAACAATGCACACTTCAAACTAGAATTTGCAAGTAGCTAGTGAGTGTTCCCAGAAAAGTCAGCATCTTCCATGCAAACTACTGGCAATTTGGCAGTCTGCTAACGACTGAAGCAGTTACAGGTAGGTACAGTACTCTGTGACAAACTCCAGCTAGCATCAACCATATCTTCAGCACCAACCTCCAGCAACCACTTCCCAACTGTCTCTGGGACACACATTTTCTCGAACAACCCAACTTTCTCCGTGGCAAGCTAACAATCCAGCTAAGTAATAAGCTTTACAGCCATAATAACAGTTACAGGGGTTATTACACGGGGGAAGACATCTCTCTGAGTCTGCATGACACAGCTCCTCTGTGGGGAGAATCCTCTAATTGCAGCAATTAAAGCCTCCTCCCATATACAGAACTTATTTCAGTAGAAACTTTCTGGATTTAAATGCTGCCATTAATATTTGTGTGATATAAAAGTTAATGAAGTCCTATATTTTGTCAGTTTTTAGTGATCTGGTTTCAGAAATACTCAAACCTGCCACAAGCAAAACATGAGATATTAAATAAAGACTTAACATCAGCTCTTTGATCATAACTAAACACTCTGTCACATCAAGAGTTTAATGTGGTGCCTGTGCAATGAAGATAACCCATGTCTGTGTAACTGCTGAAAAGGTTAATGAGAGTCATGCAAAAACAATCAATGTGCTTTCTGTTTAACATGAATAAAAGATGCCACCCTTGTTGCCTATCCTTACTTAGATCGTCATCTCACAGCAACAAAGCAGACAACAATCAATTAGCGATCGCAAAGAAGAAAAGGATCTAAAGTAACAAGAGCTGAAGTTAAGAAAGACAAGTTTAGAAAAAAATGCTCGTGAGTTTTACCTTGAAAATCAGATAAGATGTTCTAACTCACAAGGCAGATCTAGCCTTGGTCAAATGATCTCTTAGTTAAGTGCTAGCTGCAAAGTTTTTAAACATGAGTGAATACTTTGTTATATCAAAAACTGAGAAAAGAAGTCTTTTTTTCTATATTAAGGAAGTTAGCGATACTTTTTAACATGAGATAAAAGAAGGAAAAATGTGTTAACAATTTTTCTGTCCACACAAAAAAACACACACACAGACCGTGACGCAGGCTCCGGTGGTGGTGTCACACACAGTCAGGATGGAAATGTTCTGGGCCCGGTTTAACCATCTAACAGATGTCTTGGTCTTGCTGATCCACTTCACCATTGTTACATAATGTTCCCTATAAAAAAAATTATATCATAATGGTCATATCATGTCCTGTAATTACATGTTCACAAGCTAGATGCTTTTTTAATTTAGCACATCTAAAACCTATTAACAACTACAAACAACTGCTCTACACACTTAAGAAAATGAACCATTTGCACAGCTGAGCTCACTGGTTTTTACACCTCTACAAATTACCTCAATGTCAAGCTGCTCTTTTCCTTTTGTTAGTTCTCTTCCACACAGTCCTATCATGCTGGTAAATGGCATGCAGACTTTCAACATTCATTAATATCCACTGAATTCTGGCACACAGTAATGCAAGATTTCTAAATGGTATTTGCATGTTGTAAAATAACTTCACCACACCCACTGTGACACCAATTGGCCATTGTTTTTTCTTCTTCATTTTAAGAACTGAAAGCAGTTTTAATAACTATATGCGCAGAGTGAAAGATTTCCCAATTACAGGTGCAAAGTTAAGAGTGAGGAAAAAATGATCATCTGAAGTTTGAAATGTCAGAGGTATCCCTTTAAGTGGCACAGCAGCTGGTGCAAACGTTTGGCAGGGAAAATGCAGCTCCTCTCACCGCAGCTTGAGTGTCTCTGGAGGCATGAGCTCCAACGTGTGCGTCGGCCCGTAAAGGTTGACTACATAGAGCTTCACCGCTGGGTTGGGTTGACCAGCCTGCATGCAGAACCAACAGTCCAGAGTTTAGACAGAAATCTCACTTCACTGCTGCGGAAAAATACTTTATGCAACACTCTCCAAAGTGGCAACTGTGACTTATAAAGTGCTGCCAAATTAAATGATTTCGAATGAATAATTCATTGAGAGTCTTTAAAAACTTAAATGCACATACGGTTATGCTATTATGTGGAAACAATTTAGAATTTTTTGTCACACAAACTGAAAAACAGATACAAAAAAAGACACAAAGAAGAAACACTGCATAAATACTTAAACTAAAGAAAGTACATATGACAAACAGACATGTTAAACTTGACAATTTCAACATTATTCTGCATACAGAGGAGTCCTAGAAAAACCCTTACCTAAACAGCTTTAACACTACTGGAAACGTGCACTATGATTCCTCATTTGGCTGACCAGATGCATTTAGAGCAAAGTTTAAAGGGTTAGGGGTATTGTTTGAATTAAGTTCATATCTGCTATATTGTATTTTATTTTCACCTGTTTTCACAAACTTGACCAGGGTGTTCCTGGCCTTTCGCCCAATGACAGCTGGGAAGTTTAATAGGATACTGATATGGTGCAGACCTATAAAAACTCAGGTTGGCATCTGCACAACAAACTAAACTGGCCTTGAACATAGATGCTCTCTACCAAAAGGGGCACAGCTGTTTCTTTAGCTAAGAAGGCTTAGATCCTTTGAGATCTCCAGCAAATGCTGCATGTTTTACCAGTCAGTCATGGCAAGTGTCTTTTATACTGCACTGGGAGGCAGAGGGGAAGACACGGACTTTGGCTTTTGGACAAATAGCTAAAAAGGAAGGAAAGTGGGGTCATTGGTGTTTGGTGGAGAGATGCACAGTGATCAGCTTACTTCACTGAGCTGCAGGACAGAACGGCTCAGAAGATCCTTGGTGCTCACTGTCATCAGGTTATTGAACACCTGAGTCAGTGGATAAATATCCAAAAGTCAATAGCCAAGGACCCCACAGCCATCTGTTACTTGCTCTGGCTGTCTCTGTTTCCTCTTCAACCATTTAACTACACAATTCTTATATAAAAATAGCTTTTTTGGTGGTTATTTAAATATAGTTAAACACATGTTAAATGATTGTGATAAATCTTGTTATTTCTCACGAAACACTAAGTAAATTTTTTATTCCTTTGTTGGATCATTTATGTTAAATAATATAAACAAATATTAAATACAAAATACAAATGTTAAATATGGCTTTAGAATCAGTGTGGCTGTTTAGATTTTTAGACAACTAGGTCAGCCGTTATTATACTGCTTAAGCTAAGCTAAAATATAAAAGTGTAATCATTCTTGTCTCAGTGAAAAATTCTACCCATACTGGAGCAGGAAACAAGTCACAACTCTTCACTGGCTTGTCTTGCAAGTGGTGCCTCTTGTTGTTCTTCATCAAACTCATCTACTACCAAAAAACTTCTATGTGAATAGACTACCAAAAGTCTATGTGCTGGCCTTAAATATAGTTTACACACAGATGACAAATGGTCATCTACAATTATCATCACCAGGGGGCAGTGTCATGGAAAACTCTTCTGTGGGCAACTCTTGCTTTTGTAGCTCTTGTAGTCATTCAAGCTGTCATGGAAATGAGTGTTAAACAATAAAAACCATCTACTGCAATTTCCCCCATTATCCTTCCCCCAAATTCCGCTGAGATTCCCTTTCCTTTTTCTGCCCTCTTTTCAGCCAGTTAGCATTCAACCCATACAAGTGTCAGTCCTGTTGGGCTATATGTGGTGTTGTTTTCTAAGAGGATTCTACACAAGTGCTTCTACATCACATCCATTACATACACAGAATTCTTCTCTCTGTGTAGCCAAATACATACGAAACCAGCTGATTTTTTTAAGAACCTCTAAACTAAAAAAGTGTGTTACAACAACAGCAAGTAAAACACTGAGCAGAAAAAAAAACATTTTGTATTATCACAATAATGTAAACAACCATATCTTATAGGCTACTATATTTCTGTAAATTAAGCTGAAGCATTGACACCAGCTGCTTTTATTTTTACTTTTATTCTTCCTCTTCTTTTAGCTTGACTAATGGAACCCAATCTGTCTCCCTCTCACCCTAGCTCTAGAATCCTCATCTGTCACACCAACCCTGTGGATGTCCTCCTACACTACACCCAAAACCTTCTCTGAGGTTCCCCTTTCTGTCCAGTCTGGTAGCTCCATGTTCAAAATTCTTTGTCCAAGAATCCCAGTTCTATTCTATTCTGCTCTGTTTATATAGTGAGTCACAACAACAATCACCTCCAGACTGTTTATATTGTAAGGTAAACGTCTGCAATAATACAGAGAAAACCCCAACAATCAAACGACCCCCTTTGAACAAGTACTTGGCGACAGGGGTAAGGAAAAAATCCCTCAGGGAGTGGCAACCATCTGCTGTGACCGGTTGGGGGTTGATGGGAGGAAGACAGGATAAAAGACACACTCTAATATCCCTTCTCTGTCCACATGTCCAAATCTCAGCTCCCAAACCGCTCAGTCTGAGCTGTCCCTCTGACATGCTGATTTCTATTTCTGTGCATCCTGGTCACTTCCAGTGAAAATCTTAACATCTCCATCTTTACCAGCTACAGCTCTGCCTCCCTTCATTTTGTTAGGCTCACAGTCTCCAAACCATAAACTATCGCAGGTCTCCATACCATCTTGTTAATCTTCCCTTCCACTTATGATGGTATCCTTCTGTCATCAAATCACTCCTGTCACCCGACTCCACCCACTCCACTCTTCGTGTACTCTCTTAAGTCACCTCTTTTGTTCACTGTCTGTTGACTTGGATGGTTGACACCAGGTATTTAGATCCCTCTTCCTTTTATTTAGGATAAAAGATAATGTATGTGTGTTATATGCATGGATGTCGCCTAAGTGACGGTTACCTTGGGGTAGGGGTACTGCTTTCCTTTTGGGTATGTCATGCCAGTGAAGCGAGGTAAAGCCATGTTGGGAACCAAAGTGTCATTGAGAACCAGGAAGGCCAACCTCTCTCCATCAGGAGACCACCAGTGAGCCACATGGGTCTGGAGGATCTCCTCTGTTTGGAAAAACCAGCAGAAAGTTTTAATCATTAAATTAATGAAGATGGGGGGGGGGCTGAAAGTATTAAAAATAGCTCAACATAAATGCTGTTCTTAAAGTCACAATGTGAAGATTTTTATATCGAGGTCCCAAATTTGAAGGCATCAGCTAATATTAGCTAAATTACTAACTGTACTGTAAATGGGCTCAGTTTAGTGTAACGAGAAAATGCTTGTGTTTGAAGACCTAACACAAAACCAAACACATATAAGTGGAAAAAAGGGGGTGCTAGAAGAATTTGTGTTAAATTAGGTGTTAATCTGGGTTCAAGAATCACAGATAAGTAAATTACTTTATTACACAAACATAATTAAGAATAAAAGAGAAAAACAAGAAAACAGCAGTTACTGAGGTTGCTTGCCTTTTTTTTTTTTTTTTTTTTAAAAAACCCATTTACATAAGCTTCTTTTCTCCTGAGAGATGGGGCAAAGTGGCTAAGTGTATGCAGTGCGTGTTTGCTTAAAGCACATAAAATGACTCCTCACACCCACTGGGGAGATATGAGCACCAGAACAAACGTTATGAATATTTAATAATGGTAACATTTCTAAACACAAGTATTTTTAGTTTAATGAGATAGTGTGTCAATGCTTTGAAATTAAGCAGACATATTTTTTATTCCAACTTCCCAATAGTTAAAGCTCACTGCCACAAAGCAGTTTCTCAGCAAGTCATTATATGCATAAAGGTTTGTCTGGAATTGGCATTTTCTTGCCTGGTTTCTTCAAACAACACCCAGATAAATGTATACTCTACGCAATTTTGCTAGTCTTATTCTCAGAATGTGAAAAAATGTTTGTAGAAAACTGATAGGTACCTTCATAGAGCCAGTCAGCAATTCCATTGAAGATGACCCCGTCTTTTCCCGAGGATGTTAGCCTAAGGGAGTTACTCTTGACATCCGACTGATAATAGATGTTGTTTTCAAATATGTAGATCTACGGAGACAAAGCACACACAGGAACAACTTAATATGATACAGTAAGAAATAAGGACATGCTGCCAAACGAAAAATTGGTGCATGACTCTAAAACTTATTAAGCATGTGCCAAAGTTTGGACTGTAGCACACATGCACTGGATTAACAGTTACACTAAATGTGCACAGTATCTGCTCAGCGTCCAAGCAATTCTTTTAGGATTAAAAGTGCGAGCCAGTGCTGGTAAGCCAAGTCATTAATGCTAATGTTCTGTGTACTTTATTTATGAAAGCAAGCTCTTACTCCTTAACAGCTCAACAGTAACTTTAAAATCACAAAATCTACCACTGGGATGTTAAAGTTCAGAGATTTGCCCTCAAAAAATCAGGAGGATTTCTCAAAGTCCCCAAGTCTGTGAGTGTCGACATTGGAATTGGGCCCATGTCTTACTTTTTTTTTAGAGATTGTCATGCTAAATTGGCACTAGAGTTCCCTAACTCTTTTTATTTCTATTTATTTATTTATTTTGGCAGGACATGAGAGATCGGCTCAATGAATTAGATCTGGGCTACAACTTAAGCTTGGCCATTTGTTAAATTGGCACTAATAAAAGCACTAGCGATTTAGTTTCTGTTTGTATTGTATCCATGGTCGCACAGACATCTGTCATTGTATTGCACTAATATGAATGAAAACTTAAGGACCAGTCTACAAAGCCAAAGGCTGGCAAACCCAATTTCCTGTTTTTGCCTGCCACCTGGCTAATACTACACCTGACCGCAATGCCCATCCATGTGGATGGTGGGAGAGGCTGGCAGTACCGTGCTATCTTTTTCAAAGGTGTTTAGCTTGGCTTGGTGGATCAAGTCTCACCCAAAAGATCCTCACGAGTGAGCCACCCTTCGATCTCTAGTGGCACAAAAGCATCAATGGTTTCTCCAATCCAGGAGAGGTGTGTATCCATGAAAAGACTGTTCAATTGGAATGGTTAAGTACACGAATGGAGGCCAAAATGAGTTTGCTCAGTGGGGTTCTTGGGCTCACCCTTAGAGAAAGGGTAGAAGCATTGAGATGGTATGAGCTACCACTCCTTTGTCTTAGAAGAAGCCTTTCTGGGAGTTTGGTCTTCTGATTTATAGGAACTTTGTGGGCATGTTCAATCAAAAGGAGCTCATGGGGCATTCAAAGACCACAGGAGTCTCACCAAATGTTGCACTGGCTCTGGAAACGTTGTATGCCCAGAGATAATGGTGGTCTTTTAAATACTTGGAGACTGTGGTCTATGTCCTATTTGGAAAAGTTCTGAACTTGTTTCACTTGTTAGAAAGAAGTAGGTTAGGGACTAAAATCTACTTGGTTTGGTTTTTAGCACTTGTTTAAATTAAGCCACTAAAAAAATGCTTGGGAAGGTTTAAATGGTAGAATTTACTTGGGGAGGGTTTAAGCAACAGACTTTGTGGATTTCTTAGGATTTCCATGTACATGTAGCTGTCCAGAACCAAAAAATTAATTATCTCAGATCAAAGAAGTATCTGTATTCGGACCTTCCCAAAAGCCAGAAGTCTGTTGCTTTATATGATCTTACATAAGAATTCATTAGCAAGGAGCCTCTCCATGCACTGACATAACCTCACAGTCAGCAGAGCCTTCTGCCGTCTGGCTGGAAGACATCCAGATAACATCAGTCCAGTAGGCAGTCTGTGCAGCATGTGCTAAAGGGTTCTCTAAAATGTGAGGGCTTATTATTATGATTGTGAAGTGAAGATTATCAGACATTGGAGGTTTTATTGCTGCAGGTTGGATTAAATTGTAGAGGCTTGAAGTGTATTAGTGATGTCAGCAATGACAAAAAAAATTAAAAATAAAAAGGAAAACAGTTTCAAATAATCTAAACAACACAATTTCTTTTTTGGGTTTTTCATGTAACAACCGCAACAATTTCCTCTACTAACTGGAGATAGCATTCATGTAAGTAAAGCAGTAAAATGGTTGACTTGAAAATTTGTCTGGTGAACTGAAAGCAGTTCCTTTTCAATTTCTTTGGAACGCTTCTTATAGTTAGGAATTCACAGTGCTTTAATAATTAATATGCTACACGCAATCTCATACTTCCCTGTTGTGCAAGAAACTATACAAATGTTTTCAGTACCTGAAATAATTTTCAATATTTGACATTATATGTTACTGAAAATGGGGATGGTTCTAAACAATAAGAGTAGATGGTGACATTATGGGGTTTAAAATGTATAACATAATCCTCCACAATTTACAATGTATGTATGTATAAGGAAATTTTAAGTTCTGGTCATTTAAAGGTTGTACTATTATACAGCAACCATGCTGTGTAAAACAGGGACAGTCCATGCTTCCCATATTCCCTGTAAGTATCCTACTTTAAATAGACTCAAAAACCAAGATAGGTTATATGTATACAGTAGACTTTGTAACAATACAAGCTACTACAAAAGAAACACGTTTTGCCAAAGTTTAATAAGTTTATTAGTAAAATTTAAATATATGAATCAAGGCTGCGTTTAAAAGTAAAAATCTGTTTTCTAGCGACAAAGGAAATAAATGTACTATGGCTAAAAAAAGAGAGAAATTGCTAAGGTACAATGGTTACCAAATTTATTAGACCAACACCCAATGTAAGGCTTTTCCCAACTACCAAATCATTTTATGTTCTTGTTATCATTAAATTATCAGTATGTGCAAACTCTTTAATTGAATTGTTATGTTTAATAGTGAATTATAATTGTTTTTTTCGATAAATTTTAAAATGAGCCATTTCACAGAATAACAGAGCAGATTATTATTTTTTTTGATTAATAAAGCAAATTTACATTCCTCATGCAATGTATGAATGTGTACTTGATTAATTTCTTCGTGGAGACTTTCAGTCCTAATAAATAATATTTTAAAACAGGTTTTTGACAGTTTTCTAAAATCTTTGTATTTCACTGATTTGGGGATTTTGGTCTATTCATACTTCAAATATGCACTAATTTCCAGTTCCATAATAGCACAGTAGGCACTCATTAAAACTCCTCAATTCTTTTTAAAATCGAGAATTGTTACGCTCATATTCTTTGCTAAAATAAGTACACTTTGATTTGGTGGAAGTTGCCAACATTATCTAAGAATTACTGGGAAGCTTAGCCATCATGTTAAAAAGTGTGTTACAATTAAAATTCAGTAAGCCGCTCAAATGGGACTTAATTACAACTTTGTAAACTGTGAAAAGTCATTATCTTGTTAGTTAGTGTCACTGTGCATGTCCAATCCATTCTTTAAGACTCTACGGTGATGAATGGACAGCACTAATACATATTCTAGTCATAACTCTCAGACATCTTCCTAATGAGAAAACACAAATTCCCAAAGAATTACTGTGAAGCTCACTTACAGCCGGTTACAGCGAAATACACGCCATGTCATTGTTTCCAAAGATGCACTTCCGCCTAATGATGCTGTGCTTGCCACTCGAGAGCTAGAAAACCTTCACATATGTCTACCTCACCTCCTTATCACCATAATGACTTCCTAATGGAGTCGTGTTTGATTTATGCTCAAATATTCCAAGCTCAAATTTCCAAATATGGACACTGCAGCTCTACTATGCTTTTTAAGCCTTTTAGCTGTCAACAAAACAGCCTTCCCATCTGTCCTGTACAGATACATAAAAAAAGTATGATGGAAGAAAATTAGCATTTAATTAGGGTCCCCTCAAAAATGTGAACCTGAGCACGTTAAGTAGGACATTGTGAATTACAAATAGCAGCACGAAATTGACGGCAACAGGGCACAAACAAAGACAGCGTTCGGCGTGGTGGAAAGTCATGTGACACAATGTCATCCACAGGCCTGGAGCTGAAGATAAATTCCTAATTTGTGGGTTCCAGAGTCGCTGATCCTTCAAAACGCACTATTTTATTTTTCTGTAGAAACTGTGAATTGGCTGTTTACTGGATGCCAGATAAAGACTGTAGGACTCAGCAACAAATGTGCTGGCAAAAGCAAAGAGAAGCCATTGATTTTGTGTCTAAACTGATTTAACTGAGTAACAAAAACTTATAATAATAGATAAATAAAAATCGTATCTGTTTCATCCATGTAATTTGATACTTATGTTCGAAAATGAATGAAAAATATTTTAATTGGAGTAAATCTTACATATCCATGGAACAACAGGGCTGTGCAAAAGTTGTAAATATTACAAATAAATTTTAAATATCTTTTTTTTTATTGTTATCTACCTGTGTCTGATACCGGATACCAAATCTAAGTGTTTTAAAGAAATGGCATCCAACCCAGTGTAGTGAAAGCAGTGCAAAGTGGAACTAAAAACAGGTTTACGGTGTGAAAAGATTCTCTATGTGTCCTCACCAGCTGTTGGCCTTGCACCCCCCAGGCAGCATACTGGAGAACTGAGTTAACCACCTCAGGAGGGTCCAGCTCCCAAACCTCCCTAAAGTAAGGAAAAGAGTAAATAGAGGATAATAATCACTCAACATCCACTGGTGGATAATGGCTAGGCTACTTTTTTCGATGAAAATTATGGAAATGTGCAATTCAATAGACCACTTGTGTGTGTGTGTGTGTGTGTGTGTGTGTGTGTGTGGGGGGGGGGATACAATGCAAAAACAATGAGTAATAACAGCAAACCTGTAAAGCCAAAGTGAATATCGTTGGGTTCCTAGGCCCCCATTTTGAATATTATTAGCTCATTGACTGACCATTAACAGTTACGACTTCCATATAAATTGCCAGTAGGTTGTTGTCTCTGGCAGATTATGATAAAGTTAAGGCTTATCACCTGTTAGAATGGGTGGAAAAGCCTTGCAGTCATGTGTCGAAGACAAGAGATGTCTGTAAATGGTAAATGGCCTGTATTTGTATAGCGCTTTTCTAGTCCCTAAGGACCCCAAAGCGCTTTACACAACCAGTCATCCACCCATTCACACACACATTCACGGCAAGCTACATTGTAGCCACAGCCACCCTGGGGCGCACTGACAGAGGCGAGGCTGCCAGACACTGGCGCCACCGGGCCCTCTGACCACCACCAGTAGGCAACGGGTGAAGTGTCTTGCCCAAGGACACAACGACCGAAACTGTCCAAGCCGGGGCTCGAACCGGCAACCTTCCGATTACAAGGCGAACTCCCAACTCTTGAGCCACGGTCGCCCTTCTGCAATAATTTTGAAAAACCAAATGGAATTATATTAAAAACTGGAGAGTGAAAAACAGCCTTATGTCAGTGAGATGGTAAGGACCGATGCTGCTAAACCTTTTCTAAAGCATCTGAGTGTCAACTCTGCCCACCTCTAGTCAAATTTCATGCAATAGAAATGATGCGCGACAGTGCATTTTAATCAAGGTTGCCTCTCTACTTTAGCCATTGGTTGAGTTACAGGTGCAACAATTGTGACCTTATCAAATGGCAGCAGTGGGCCAATACATCTAAAGTCAGAGGTTAAAAAAAGAAAACAAATGTGCAAAAACAGTTTTTAGGGGAGCACCCCCCATTTTATTTATTCAATGTTTATATAGCACATGCTTTGTATCAGTTTGTTTCTTGCTTTAGCTGACAATGGCATGCACTTTGAAATAAGCCCAAGTTGGCCATAGACCCATTTGCCTGATATCAGCACAGACATGAGAGAGATTAAAAGGAAATGCCAGAGCAATGCCCCAAAATGGCACAGCTTTCTAAAATAACACTCGTGTTTGAAAAGGATAATCCAATCAGCTGTATAAAGTTTTAATCTCTCTCTGATTAGTAGTCAGAATCCCGCTCATGACTGTGACTTATGAAACTGGCAGGAAGTCATTTGAGCATGTCCTGGACTGTTACTTTGGATTGAGACTTTGTGCAGAATGTTTGGAAAATCAGTCTGAAAGCAGTGGGATGCCACAGAGTGCAGGCTGATCTTCAAACTTTATTTTGACTGAACATAAAATTTAGAATGGTAAAGTTTCAATACTCTGCACAAGCTAGTGAGAGTTCTGGGGATATACAAAAAATATTCCCAGTCTGTACTTGAGGTAGTCAACTTATTACTTTCCATTGGATGTGTGGTTTCCTCTATTTGACTGCAATTGATACAGTTCTTATACTTTTTGCACTTGTGTGTAATTTTACATTGCAGAAATGTATAAACCATAAAGGTGGTTTACCCCTTTGCTCTAAATACATACACATCCATAAAATCTGTCTTTTGTTTTAGTGTAAAAATATAACAAAGATCATTTTGCAATTTAGGATTAGTTCAAATCAATAATAATCATACTAATTATTAACATTAAATTGTACATCTAAACAGGTAGTAATAGTAGTATTAGTAGTAGTAGTAGTAGTAGTAGTAGTATCTACTTGCACTGTGAAGTTCTGTGCAGGTTTGCAACATTAGGCTGAGTCTGGGTAGAGAGTACAGCCACATGCACTTCAGAATTCATTCAGCTCCTCTATCAGCACTCACATCATCAATAAACACCAGTGATGCAGTTCCTTGCTTACTTACAGCCACACAACATAACATCACCTCCACCATATGTGAGAGATGATGTGGTATGCTTCTGCTCATGACCTGTTTCTATCTTTCTTCATATTTTCTTCATCCCACAACAGGCTGATAGCACATGGAAGGAAAGCTTATGCAGTGAGGACACTGGCAATGGCAGCTTACGCCTTTCCATTATCCAGTGGATTTGAATTTCTGCTCAGCTAATTATTCAACAAAATAAATGTATTCTAGGTGAACAATACCCTGACAGCCACGATGCTGAAAGCACCTGTCTAATATTGTGTATACCCTGTTGGAGTAGTTAAAACAACTGTAACCCCCGAAATGCATTGGAGATGACTCCATTGTGTTTCAGCTTCGCCTGAGCTGATTGCATGAACTCAATTATTGCGATTTCACCAGATGCGCCACTGTGTGTGATGTCTCACAAGTGGCTCTCTGGTGTACCCCTCTCCCCACTGGATGAACTTTGGGCCTGCACTATGGCCCAGTATAAGATAAACAAAGATGATTTCGAATCATGCAAATAAACTCCAGTATAGCACAAGAGGAAACTCTAGGCAGGCAGGTTTCCCTGAACATGTGGGGCCCTTAGAATGCAGCTTGAGTCTGCTTGTTTATTAATCTCAGTCAGCTAACATCTGGAACAAGACAAACAATCCAAATAACAGACATACAGTTTGTTTCAAGCGTGTCACAGCATGTAAATTGATCCCACAGTATTCTATTCATTGTACATAGCTTATATAAAAATTCCTGTGTTCTACAAATTTGTCAACCCCTGTGAGTCATGGATATTTTTCCACTAATGACAGGTGTTACTACCAAAAAGGTTGCCCCTCAGTAACCGCTGAGGAATACTTACCGAGTGTGAATATTGTAGATGCTGTAGGAGGCCATGTAAGAGTGGCGATAAACCTGCAGTAAAATAAAGAGAGAATGGAAGAAAGATTAAAATATGACTGAAGCGTTAACGAGAGAAGCAGAAGTGTCACGATAATGACATCAGGACAAAATAAAAATGAAAAGAAGAAAGGCATCAAAGAAAACAGATTGCTGGCTGTTCTCTGTGATAGAATCTGTAGACAATGCAATTTGCATGGGTGACAGCTGTGGGACGAGACATTTTAATTCCATCTGAGAAACCCATCATCGCCGAGTGCCTATGTGCTCAAAACTCGGGAGAGACAGAGATGGAAAGGAGCGAGGGAGAGGCATTCAAAATGACAGAGGGGTGCATGTAAACTGTCTGAACCACCACCCGCCTACCCCCTCTGGAGAAGCTGTGCTTGACATGATAATAGACCTCTGACCGTGGCTAGTGATCGGGGACAGAAACAGCCCAGATTTTTGCATTCCATCAGGAAAAAGACACTCAAGTATTCACCTCTGATACAAAGAAGGAGAGGAATTTTACAAGCGCCAACTCTGACATGACATTCTGTACTAATGTAAATATTAGTGCAGATCAGAGCTGCAGTTGACTGGGAATTGATGTAAGCCGAGACATAATGTTATTCCACTCATCAAAATGAGTACAATTGTTTCACCAAAGGTAGTTAGTATTGTCATTTTCCTTGATTGGAATGGATGGCTGACTGGATGGATTGATGGATAGAAGTCTATTTTTTCCTTTCCCACTATATTAAAGTTTAGATTTACCTATAAAAGGACATGAAGACAACAAAACCTTCCAAATGGTCAGTGATATACGCTTGAAATTTTATGGTCCACTGTTTCAAGGCTGTAAAACAATATTTTTTACAGCCTTATTATTTCTTTCTCTACAAACAAATACAAAAACAAGTACAAATCTATTTACAGGTGAACCAGTTTCATCCCCAAACTTTATGACATTTTCATAACATTGAAAATAGATAGATAGAGCAATCGATCTTCAGCATGATCCAGTATTATTACTTTATCCTCAGGCATCAAAGAGCCTTATCTGAAACAACAGTCTGAAAACTAAGTGAGAAAACTAAAGGGGAAAAAGGAGGAAAAACAAAGTTTAATGACATGAAATCTGCATAAAGGTTATGAATTCTGCAGAGCCCCAGATGGGGGCTCTCACTAAAATAGCCATGACAAGTCAACATGAGTGATCTCCCAAGCTGGAAGGGAAGTTGATCTAACTCTGATGACTCTGACAAATGCTTGTGCTCCCTGTTGTATGCTGTACAGCAACTGAGTAGAAATGAAGATGACACAAGCACATTTCACAACATCTGTGACATTTGCACTGTGTGAGGGCTTAAAAAGAATCCAGGCAAAATCCAACTACTAGCAATAATGCAGACAAACTCAGTGACAAGGTTGATAGACTACATTTCAGCTAACTGTACACCACTAAACTTACATTAAGATATGCTTAAAAATGTCCATCCATCCATCCATTCGCTTCCGCTCATCCTTTTCAGGGTCGCGGGGGGCGCTGGAGCCTATCACAGCTGTCATAGGGCAAGAGGCAGGGTACACCCTGGACAGGTCGCCAGTCTGTTGCAGGGCCAACACACAGGGACAGACAACCATTCGCACTCGCACATTCACACCTAGTGGCAATTTGGATTATCCAATTAACCTATATCCCCACAAGTTGCATGTCTTTGAACGGTGGGAGGAAGCCGGAGTACCCGGAGGGAACCCATGCAAACACGGGGAGAACATGCAAACTCCACACAGAAAGACCCCGGCCTGATGGTGGAATTGAACTCAGGACCTTCTTGCTGTGCGGCAACAGTGCTAACCACCGTGCTGCTTAAAAATGTCTAAAATCTTTTAGAATTCTTACATACAAATCGTCCAAGTCAAGAAAAGGAGAGACTTGCCCTTAGAAATTGTTTGTGGATGTTATTGCAAGACATACTCTACACTCCAGTGGCACAAATGAGATCTTTGATTTGTCCCTGGTCAGACTCATGGGGATGAGCCAGAGGCTACGAAGACTCATCGTGGAAGGTGTTGTCCAAGATTCACTTTGACCCATTCCTTCAGGCTGTGCAAGCCAAGAAGAGACTAACCAATTTAATCTTTTTTTTTTTTTTTTTTTTAAATACCTTATGCCTCCTGGCACGTTTTCTCCCCGGTACCCTGTGACAGGAGCATAACTTGACTTCCTCAGCTTGTATTACTTGGTAAACATTGTTTTCTCACAGATACAGAGCTTCTCATAGACGTTATGAAACATATCCTCCATCCAAAAATGTATTACTATATGGACAAATCCAGATATATATTTATTTACCTTATCCCTGCAATATAACTGCCCGCTTCAATCCTAGGAAGAGACACAGATCCCTTTGGGGCTGCGTCAGGAAGGTTATCCAATGTAAAGAAATCTGCCAAATCAAACATGCAGAGCTACCTGCTGCGGCGATTCCTTTTGAATGAGTAAGCAGACAAAAATAGCTTCTTTATCCTTTTAATATAAACTGAGATTTACGCATATAGAACACAACAAAGAGGCAATCACTGCTGTAGCTCAGAGTTTAAATTGCTTTGTACAGTGTGTGGTAATTATGGATGAAATATAATGTTCCTGTTTTAAGAAGCTACAATTGAATTTGTTAGAGAAGGTATGTGAAAATGTGCAGACTTCACATTAAGAATTACAGTGAGGCAGGCATGCTAGTTCATTCATTTCAGACATGAGTTATGTGACTGTCATTGATATGGATTTGTGTATTTACCGCATGCTGTGATCACATTCTCTTAAAATATTGAATAATATAGTTTATTTGTCCAAAAAGCTTATAACAGCCCAAAGGTAGATGTCGTGCAGACATAACAACATCTTTAAATCATTTACAATAAAAACTCTTCAATACGTAACAGAGTTCATTTTGTGTAATGTGGTTCATGTTTGTTTAGCAACTATGTGGTGCAAATATCTGTGTATAATTAAAAAAAGACTTTCGAGTTGTAGCGTTCATTTTAGTCTACAATTGTTACAGTTTGTCCTTTTTTAATTCTAAGGTTTTATGCATTTGGGAAATAATAATAAAAAAATAATTTTGTGTTTACAAGGTTCTAATTTTTCAAATTCTAACCAGAGAAGAACAACAACCCTTGAGTACAAGTACACTCCGTGTGAGTAAGTAACATGAACAATGATTGGTAATTGTTTCCTGTATGACTTTACTTTCACTCTGCCACATCATTGTGGAGGAGTTTTGGTTGACTCTTTAGTATTTCTGCATTTCATTGAGGTTTGTTGGCATTCATTTATGCACCCCACCACCATGCTTGACAGGTGCAGCATCAGGTGTTTGGGAAATACAAAAAACTGCGTATTTTTGTTCATTATTGCTAAATATTTCTGTCCTGGTCTTATATGCCAAAAGCACATTGTTCCAGAAGTTCATGATTAGATACTATCTAGAATGTTTTCCATGTGTGACTAATTTTTCTCATTGTAGAACGATGAATTTCAGATTGTCCATCAGTCCACAAACACCTGGATGCCCCTGACCAACAAACTGCCTAAATTTCTGTTATTATAGACGTGGTCACTTGCTCATGACCTGCCACTTACCCCCTTAATTTTTATTGCCGCACTAAGGATTTATTTACTTTTTCACACACTGCTTATGTAACTTTTTGGGGAAATAATTGACAAAACATGCTATTTGTTGTTGAACATATGAGGTTGTAATTATCTAATTTTAAGATCTGCTGAGACCAGATAAATTTTATTATATTTTTATATGTAAAAAATTAGAAATGACAAAGCCCATACTTTTTGTTTTACATGCATATATGTATTTACTTTTAAAGAACAAACCATGAGGATGTTTCAATCAAGTCCAAAAACAGGAGGGAAAGGAGAGAGAATGCGTTTTTGACCTTGTGCTTAATACATAAAACTTAATGGGTCTTTATCTACCAGAGTTTATGTCTGTTGCACTGAGATGACAAGTTATTGCAGGTTTAAGCTTTTTTTATAACGGTATGTCGGCTTTCCCTTAAATATGAAATGGCATAATAATAGGTTCACTTACTAATGAGGATTAAGTCTAATCCCTGAAGAAAACATCACTATATTTTTTATTTTAAGAGCACTTGAGGAAACAAAGCAGATGTTTCTTACAATCATGGAAGTCAAAAGACATTTTGAAAGACTGCAATAAAGCTTTGGTTATGATGCCTAAAGCACAACCAATAACAATAAGCTGGAACATCAATAATAGAGATTCCTGTTCATCAAGAGAGTGAATTACTGGTTAGAGAGAAGAAGATTCACCAAAGTCCAAGTGACTTATATCGACTTTATGCAGAGTGTAGCTTCTCAGTGCATACTGAATGTATTGTGGCTAACACTGAGGTTGAGTGTGTTCAATATAAATTTACAGGCTTTATTACAAATATCTTTCAGTATAGCAGAGAACTGTGCATGGAAGTAAAACCTGATTCTTCATAGTGCACTATACACATTTCTCAAACCCTGACAGGCTGAAAATTCCTCTTTTTTTTCTTTTTTCTTTTTGCCATGAAACAGTCTTTACAAGCCCCAAATGAACTTTTCAGTGATATGCCATTAATTTTAGGTGTAGAGCACACATGGGTATGGTGACCTTTGTTGCCGACTTCGTAATAAAACAAAAGGTTGTGACATTTTCAGCACTCAATGCTGTGAAGAAGAATTTAATGTCAAGAACCAAACGTACGGATGCAAGCTGGATGTTTAAAAAAAAAACACCTTTGAAAACATCACAACAAGGATTCTTGTCTAAAAGGATTAAAGTACCCTCTTCCAAAGTTTAATTATCTAGTGATTTCAGTTTTTGTAACTATAGCTAAAAAAACAACAAAAATCTTAAGGTCAGTTGTTATCTGTAATTAACTTTTTTTGGCTGATGAAGCAAAACACTACAGATCACAGGTGTCAGCGTAATTAACCTGAAGCTGCAAACTGAAAA